CCAGAGCTGTAAAGACAGTTATAAAAAAATGTGCTATATTATAACCATAGACATAGTATCTTATAGACTAAACATTCAGTGACGTCATCAGCGTGTGAAAGGAGTGCACGTATATAGTTAGACATAAGAGTAAGGGAGAAGCAAATCTATATTTCTTGTCTTTTTCTAGGTATGCGTTTTTGATTAGGGGTGTCCACTTTGAAAATACATCGATGTTTTTTTTGATGTGATGCATCGAAACTGTGCATCGATATATTCCGATGCATCGGTTAAAAACATCGATGTTTTTTCAACATCGAGTACTTTTTCTGACTTCAAACAACCGACATTTTGAATGATCTACTACTCTTACATCAGTACTGACTGCCCGCACGCCTTTTGTGAGTGTGTATGTGTGTTCAAGGATGTTAGTTCGATAGATCATCATCATCATCATTACAGCCCTTTACAAGTCCACTGCTGAACATAGGCCTCCCCCAAAGAATGCCACAAAGCACGGTCCTGAGCCACCTGCATCCATCGACTTCCTGCATATCTTACCAGGTCGTCACTCCATCTAGTGGGGGGACGCCCTACACTTCGCCTGCCGGTACGAGGCTGCCACTCGAGAACCTTTCTTCCCCATCGGTTGTCGGTTCTTCGAGCTATATGGCCGGCCCATTGCTACTTCAGCTTACTAATCCGTTGGGCTATGTCGGTCACTCTGGTTCTACTGCGGACATACTCATTTCTGAGTTTATCTCGCAGAGAAACTCCGAGCATAGCCCTCTCCATAGCTTGCTGAGCGACCTTGAGCTTCCTCATCCGGCCAGCAGTGAAGGACCACGTCTCAGTTCCGTATGTCATCACTGGCAACACGCACTGGGTGTACAGTCGATCGATAGATATTCTTAATTGCATGACACACAAAGTGTCTTATTCGTAAGAACTAATATATTGTTAACAAATGTAAATATTCATAGTTATTTATTTGTATTATTTATATTTGTATGTTGATGTGTATATATGTATGTATACGTCTGTATGCATATATTTGTATATATGCATAAATAGGAGATATTTCTATAGTATATTTGTTTTATATATTTGCAAAATTAATATATAACTTAGTTAATTATCATTTTTATTTTGTTATTATTTTATACTGTTACACCTACGTCAAATTCTCGTGGGTTGACTGGTAGATTTTTTTTTTTATTATTCCCTTTGTATTCTTTTATATTAAGAAATGCAATAAAGAATAAATAAATTATTATTTATGACCTACTACTAAATGGACGGCGGAACTAGAACAAAATTCACGAAAAATGTGTCCCGAGTCAACCTATACAAACGTATTATATATATAATTTTACTTGCGACAATTTATCAGCCTTTTAACATCAACCAGAGGCTGCATTCTTATCGCCTTATGAAGCTTCTAGCGAAAATTATCGGTATGGTTTTTTGTTTTTACAATTAATGTGAATTTAAATTAAATACTACGTATCTTGTATCTAAACAAAATATTATTTTTAAATTATTAAATATTAATAGTCTAATATAAATAGTATCGAAAAAATATATAAATAGCTTTGCTCGTTTTGTGATACTGTACGGCAATTTGGAGTGTATTATCGGGCGACAAAACGAAGACTGGCGTTCAATTCGAGCTCTTTTTTCATTTTGGAACTCTTTTGGCTCGGACACTTTTGAGCGCATAGCCGATGTCCATTTAGTAGTAGGTCAATGTTTATGATATTATTTTAAATGATAAAAATGATACATTCACAATAAAAATACTTACATATGGAATACAACTCCATCTTTTTGTAAACTTTAAGTATTTGACTGCTTTATGCACACGTTAACCGCACCGATTGGCATTTTGTACCAGTGTACAGTGAGCAGTGTATGCTCAAAACATTTTAAGCCTCATTGTTTTAAATATGCTTAACTTATGTAATTTATAATATCATTAAGATAATTTTTTTAAATGTTATAATTTCTTGTTGTATCTTGTTGTTTCTCCATAAGTGATATAAGTTTGATCTTGTTGGTAGTTATGATTTTTGACATTGTTCTGTATGTATTAAAAATTGACTAGCATTGCCCATTTTATTTTCAAATGCTGACATTCTGTATTATTATGACTTGTAATAATTGGGTGGCATGACATTGAAAAAATATTTACTTATAGATGTATTGATTAAACATGAATCCTCATTTACAAATGTTGGAACTTTATCTGTACTACCATGTTTTATGCAAATAAAGATTTAAATAAAAGAAATAAATAAGTAATTTAAAGTCCTGACCTAAATATACAAATGAATAATTTATTATGCAATAATAATTGTAAACTGACTGGGAATGCCTACCAATGGGACATTTAGTCCACCCTTAATCCCTTTTATAAAGGTGTTATACACATTTATGTGTAAATAAATTAAGAAATAAATGTAATAGTTATGATAATTTCTATTTAATTGTCATAAATAATGTAATAAAGATGTTTTTGACAGAAACAGAAACAGAAACTTTTTTATTAAATATAGATTACAAATAATACTTATTGAAAGTCACTCTTTTGTTTGATTACCACTGGTTCGGAAAAAACCTCTGTCCTGGGAAGAACCAGCAAAAAACCCAGCGGGACTTTTTTTTTTAAATAACAGCTTACAATCATGATGTTACACAAATTAACAACACAACAAATTAGAAATAGCTTGGTAGCGATCATCTCATTTCCAGGGGTTATTATCATCCATAAATTCCTTAATATTATAATAACCCTTTTTATACAAACTTAGTTTAATAAAGTTTTTGAACTTTGAACAGGTCAAACTTTGTATATTTTCTGGAATTTTGTTGTAAAAGCGTATACATCGCCCCAAGAATGAATTACTGACTCGATGGAGACGAGTAACTGGTACTACTAGCTTGTGTCTGTTCCTAGTATTTACAGAATGAATATCACTAATTTTTCTAAAACTACTTTTATTTTTGTGTACGTACATTACATTTTCATAAATGTATTGAGAGGCCAAAGTTAATACATTAATTTCCTTAAATTTTTGTTCCAAGAATTACAAGGAAATAAGACAAAAATTTTGTTAAATTTGTTGTTTATTAATGTGATCAAAAATTAATAAGTAATCGTTTGTTTATTTTCATTTTATTGAATTATATTTAATATATAATTGTGTTTTCATTTCTTTTACTCAATGTAACATTGTTAATATTTCTAAATGTTGTGTAACAACACAAAATTTAGTTCGTTTTCCTTTTTAAATTTCAATATATTTTCATTTAAATAGAATATATATCTTTACAGTCTATCAAAAGTCCACTGTTGAACATAAACATGATTATAGTTATTTAGAATAGTTTCAACGCTTGGAAAGCGGGTTGTCAACCACTGTTTTTTTTATTTAGCTGTTATCAGGACAATGCTGCTGTTTATCTTCTTTGATGTTTCCCTATGTCGCCTCATACACCACCCATGGAATGATATGAGATAGCAGATAATCTTACACTGCATGGTAAATTAAAATGGAATATTATAAAACATTCGTTTTTATTTTTCGACGGCTCCGTGGCGCAGTGGCTTAGCAATCAGTTGTTGCGCTGGGGGCCGCGGGTTCGAATCCCGCACGGAACAAGTATTTGTATGGCCTACAAATAATTGTTCCGGGTCTGGATGTTTGTCCTTGTGCAATTTATGTTTGTAAATTTTCTCCACGACACAGGAGAAAATCGTAGTGTGGGCGTAACGTTTTATTAAATAAAAAAAATTAAATAAAAAAAATATTTTATATACCAACATATTACAAAAACAAACCCTTTGTCGATGCTTTACAACGTATATTAACTAAACATTTTACCACCTTAACCTGCAACATGATTAAGCCACCTAACCATGAGTAAGTCACCTAAAAAAGGCCTTCATAGATAGGATGACTTTTGCCATATTTTCACGCCTGCGTTAAAATATGTGTTATTCTGGTTGGCCATCGCAGTTATTTATTATTTTAAGTTTTCATCGTGAAAGTGCTGCTGCCCCATCCCCATCTTGTATTATTGCTTACGACGCTGGGTAATATCATCCCGTGTACAGACAAATTCTCTTGTACGCCACAACTTGCCGCACACAAGACACTAACTTGGCAAAACATGCAGGAAATCGCGGGAGTAGGCTCATAACCGTGTTTTGTACTACAAAACCTAAGTGGAAACCCTTTCCTTTCGAAGATCTGTGTTCAGCACTGAACTTGTGATGGAATGGTATGTTAAAACATTATTGTTATTTTTTTTGTAAAAACAACAAAATTCGATACAAGGAAATTTTTGTTTATTATTTAATATTTTTATTCGCAATTAATATTTAAGTACATACATAACATATTGTTATTTACATACATAACATATTGTTATTAGCGATATCACACTTTGTACTATTAGCGCCTTCACTTAGTGCCGTCGAAATCCAAAGAGTTATTGAATGTCCAGTAAAATCGTCGATGCGCCGTTGAATACAGAATGATGATTCTGTTTGTACGCTGTTTCCGCCCGTAGTTTTTAGTCACAGAATGTATTTTCAAGAGAAATTAATTAATCATCTGAATTATAAAAGAACATTTTTTTATGGTAACATTTAAGTTTTTTACATGAATTTAAATGCTGTGAATATTAATAAACCCATAACGGGGGCAATGAAACAATATCTGGTAACCCAGTGAAAGTACCTCCCACCTATTTCTATCGCATTTATATCTAAGCATACGCGAATGCTTTATCTAGTCAATCCTCTATCTACGATTATAACTTATAACCATAGACATAGTTATAACTGTAGATCTTTGAGCATAGAAAATTCAGCATATATTTGGGGGGGGGGGGGGGGGTTCAGTTTGCTACCACAAACTATATAGAAACACTTGCTATATATTTATTTATAAATTTATCTATGGTTATGGTATATCTATATGTTGGTGAACGAGAGGTTATGAAACAAAAACATGTCACTTTTCAAATTATTTCAAAAAAACACCAAAAATGTTATTAATCATTACAATAATTTGCAGATAACTGCTATTTCTAGTCGGAAATTAAGTATATTGCCTTCTATCTATGGTGAGTAAACTATTTCTGCGATCTTAATTTATATTTAGTAAAATGAAATTGAGCAACTAATTCACTAAATATAAATATTTTTATGTATTTAAAGATGGTGAACAAGATCCCGGTCCTAAATTCTTTTCTTCCGGTGTTCAAGCGCTCCTAAAACGTCTTACAAGACCAGATTTTGCAAAAGTATTTCGTAAAAGGACAAATAGTAACCTTTCTGTACTCAGAACTCCAAAGTATAAATTCTTGACAGATGAGGAATTAAAAGCCGAGATGTCTAAAGCAAATCAGACTGCAGCTCGATTGCTACAGATGCCACCAGTTGTGAAGGTAGCCTTTTATGGGGATATTTGCCATAGTTGTCATGCTTGGTGGGTGGGTTGGCAACCACACTTTTTATTTTCTAGTTGATATTAGGGAGACGCTGCTGCCTATCTTCTAATTTGTCATCTTAATACACCCATGGGATAATATGAGGTAGTGGATATTCTTACACTGCCACTGATTGGTTAAAGGTATTCATAATATAATAATATTATAAATGTGAAAGCATAGTAGTGTGTTACTGCATTATGCTTGAAGTCCTAAAGGGGTTGCCGCGATTACCATATCGGTATCAGATCCATTATTAGCTGAAACTTCAATTATTCTAAATAATTGTTACAAATTATCAATTTGTGCAACTTCACTAATTTAAATTGTTTCACTTCTTACACTACTTCACTGCTGTTAGATCAAATAAAACACCTTAATAAAAAAAATATATGAGAATTGTGCTAGTTAGCTTATCTAATGACAAAATAATAATTAACATTATTGACAACAATTAATGTCAATTTATAAAACAACAATACGAAACACAGCAGCTGTGTGGTGCTATTTTTTTGTGGGGCCATTTTACGTCGCCGCCTTAAAACAGCTTTAAACTTTTACATAGATATCTAGCCATTGTTTTAGTTTTCTAAAATTATGTAAATTCTATAATTTTAAAACAAAATGCACACTATGCTTTATTTGTTTGTGATTTGTTTTTATTTTTAGGTGCATGAGCCAATCAATGAGGTTCTTTCTAAAGACCCAGCTTTAGTTGGATATGACACTTCAAAATATTTATTCACAGACATAACTTTTGGAGTCCCAAATGAGCACAGACTTATTGTTGAGAGGTATGCATTTATTGAATTTTAATTTCTCTGTAACTAAAAAGGCCTATGTCCTATAATGTGGCAAAATATCAATTTAGGTATTAACATGTCTGTATGCAGTAATTGGTTTAAGTTTATATCATATCTAACTTGAATATTCTGTACGAAATAAAAAAAATTACTTTACATCAATATATACACTTTGATCTGATGGTAGTGCAATGTGTAGGTGAATCCATCACCACATTTCATCCCGTGGCTGTTGTAAGAGGCGACTATGGGACTAGAATGATACCATGACTTCGAATAGATGGTGTTTTTTTTTTGTGGTAAACTAACAATCCACCTGATGGTAATTGGCTACTGCTGAACATTTACAGACAACTTTATATAAAGAAGGCTACAGATGCTTTGTCACCCCTGAGGACTAAGATGGAATATCTCACAGTATGTAATTATTCTGGCTCTTTCTACCCTTCCGACCAGAACATAGCCAATGCTAAAACTGCTACGTGGCGGCAAAAATAGGTAAGAGGGTGGTACCTACACAGACCAGACTACTAGGTAGAAAAAGAAGAAAAGGTATAGCAGGCTATCTTGTATGCGATAGACGTAAAATGCCCTTACCAAGGATCCTGCAAACAGCAGCAAAGGTGCAAGACGTTTGGTATTGTGATCACCAATCTGCATGGCCAGGGTGATGATTAAGAAAATCATCTCTGTAATAGGAAAGGCTCATGCAAAAATGCAAAGAATACTAACGGATTTAGCCAAGGTGACTTTCTGGAATCGTTAATGCTAATAGAAAAACATAAAAACCTATCAGTGACAAAATATCTCAATTGTAAGTCATATGTGAGTTGCGTAACTTGACACTTATTAAAGAAAACGGTTTATTTTTCAGAAATCCCGATGGTACATTGCAAAATTGTGATCATGATACAAGGAAAAGACTTAACCAGGTCAGTCAGAGTGCTAAATTTTATCTATGACTAACAAAAAATAGGCTCTATATATGATTAATGCTTACTGGCAGTCCAAAGTGGAACCCAAAATAAATACTTGCGAGAAACTGTAAACTTATTTTTAATCTTGAAATTGTAAAACTATTTGATTTCACAATCAAAAGCAATGTTACTATAGCTCTGTGTTTCCTGTTATTTAGGTATCTCTTGATAAAGAGTCTAATATTAGAGTCCCAAACGAGTGAATAGTCAACAGATTCTAAGCAATCAATCAATCAATTTATGTACATATTAAAGACTATCCTATAAAACTAACTAAAAATAGATGTATGTATCTAATCTGCACTGATCTTCTTCATCGGCCCAAAAAAGTCTACTTTATACGTGGTAGAGCTATGCTGCAGCTATATTAGTAGTATCTATAGTTGTAGCACGAATGGGTCGGCTCGACCGGGAAAGGACCACACTCTCACAGAATACCAGCGTAAAATAGGAGCTTAACACTGCTGTGTTTCGTATGGTGAGTGTAGAGAACCGGAGACCCTTTTACTGGAAAAGAGGCATTCCACCTTAGTCCTCACGGGTGACAACGCTGAAACCGCAAACTGATAGGTGAAGCATTTTGATTCGCAAACGAGGATGTAGATGTCTATGGGTCACAGCAACCACTTACCATCAGGTAAACTGTGTACTTGTTTGTTACCCTATCCTAAAAATCTTCACGCTTGGCAGCCGGGTTGACTATTGCTAGACATCTCATAACTTTGATGCTGTTTTCCGATGAAAAATACGCAATTTTTCAACAAGTGTAAAAGGGAAAGTTATATCGCCATCTAACAGAAACAATATGATTTTTGTGGCATTTGCCATAGTAGTCTCTTGCGACATCCACGGGACAATACACTGCCACCACAAGACTACCATGATTAATTTCTGATAGGTGAAGCATTTTATTAGATATTCCTAAATCACAGATTAGAAATTCTTGTTGTTTATGTCTATGGTTTCTTATTTAAGTAATTTTTTTATTCCTGTTTAAAAGCTATCCTCAAACATTCAAAGTACCTGTTTCAGATATACTTTCCCATGCAGGGTCGCAAAGTGAGGGAACCAATTATGTTTGCCGATGAAGAAAAATTCAATGGCTTACTGGAAGCAGAGAAATACGAGTATATTCTAGACAGAGCATGTATACAGTATGAACCCGATGAACCAAATTACCAGAAAATAACAAGTATTACCTATCAGCATGTTGATATGAAAACCAACTTCAATTTATTGAGGTAATGTATAACAGATAACAACTTTTGGCCTTAGTTGTAACAGGCCTGTCTCACTCCACGCTTTAGGCAGGAAAATATACCTAGGCTGTGCGGCTGCCTACTAGAGGCTAATTCAGTGAGGTTGTCATGTGCTCGAGCTGACACGCACCTTATGTTAACAAAAAAGTATTTTTCTCTTATAAGTATTGAGGCACTTTTGATATTTATTTTTGAGTTTTTATTCAAGCATGGCCACTCAAAAAGCCAACAGGTACTTCATAGCATACGGTTGCTTAAATAACAATAGGAATGTCGACTTTTCACTCTTTTTACTTTTCCTAAGGATACTGAAAGATAATATATTATTATTTATAGGTAGATCTAGATAATTAGTTACCTAGTTACTGACGCCATAGTTACAGATTTATTACCTATTTGATTAGCGACCCGACCACAGCTTCGCAGTTTTCGATTTTTTCGCTTATAATGCCAATGACCTTAAAACTACATGGAGTCAGAAAATGCTTTACTGTCATCAACATTAGAATACATTTAGCTTGAACTGTTCTTACGCTTTTTCAAACAAATACAAATACATTGTTGAAAATGCTGTCTTATGTAATATTGCTGTATTAGAATATTCGCGTGTAAATGTAACGCAATAAGCCACCGACTGTTGTAATCATAACTGTATGTTTTTCATGTCTAAAAACAAAAATACTCAAAATTGAAATCTATCTGCAAGAATTTAACATTGACATTTATCAAATGTTTTAATTTGAATTACAGATCTACGAGACACTTTGGCCCCCTAGTATTCTATCTAACCTGGCATCAATCCATGGACAACCTTATGTTGGAACTCTTACAGTCTGGTATTGTTCGAGAGGCTGTTCTTTTAATGGGGCTAAGGCATGCTATTCACGAGGACATTACTAATGCCGATGAAGTCAATGTCCTGGTGCCGCAAGTAAATATCACCTTTGTATAATTAATCCAACCTGTGATACCTTTTCGAACAAAGCAACAACTGAAATTTAGGGAAAACTAACACAAAATTAAATTAACCACAGGAACTAAAATTTTTAAGAGTGTCAATAGTGTAGAATATGGCATTTTTTGTTGTAGAATAAGGGTGACAAACGAGCGCACAGTCCACCTGATGCTAAGTGGATGCTGTGGCCCATAGACATCTACATTTATTATCCTCAATTAAGAATCAAAATGCAGATGTGTTGTTATCCCTGAGGACTAAGATGTAATGCCTCGATTCCAGTAAAAAGGGTCTTCAGTTCTCTATACTTACCATATAAAACACAGCAGTCCCACCACAGTCGAGCTGACCCATTCATTCCAAAACAATATAATATAGCTGCAGCGTGGCTCTACATTGTAAAATGTAGATTTAGTTATTTATTTACACTTATTTGTTTACACCTTAATGAAAGGGTTACAAAGGGCAGGCTTAATGCCTTTAGGCGTTCTCCCTCAGTCAAACTTGGGTGTGGTGAGATAAGTGCATTATGTGGTATGATGGGTGCATTAAGTGTCTGTTTGTAATGTTAAAATAACAGCCTTTTAGTAAATGCATATGATAGTATATACGGTACTAATAACAAAAAAAAAAACTTTTTTTTAAATTTTTGTCTATCTGTCTGTTTGTTCTGGCTAATTTCCGAAACCGCTGGGTCGATTTTGACGGCACTTTCACTGGCAGATAGCTGATGTTATAAGGAGTAACTTAAGATACTTTTATTTTAGAAAAATAATTAGCGTCCCGCGCAAACAGAAAAACCATGAAATCGTAGTAAATTCCACGCGTGCGAAGTCGCAGGGGACAGCTGATAATTTCAAATCTAATGCTAAATACATATGCGCAAAACATTACCTTAGAATAGTCTTTGGTACTTAATTTAAAAAAAAATTACCTTTATTCACAGCCAAAAAAGACTATAAGCCTTTTGTTGTTGCAACTAAAGTTACAATTTCAAGCGAAGTTTATTTCGATCATATCACAAACACACACGCAGGCACGTACACACACACACACACACACACACACACAATCATACATTTCTCATCATCCAAACGAATAGGTTATAGATTAACAAGTGCGGCCGCGTAATGTAACCGGTGATGTGTGATGCTTTCTGAGCTCAGGTAAAATGTTGTGTGATGTAATTAGGTAATTTTTTTATCACGCGCATGACCGATACCATACACTAACCCACTTATTCATAAAAAAATTTAAACGCTTGATTAGTTAAATAAGGTTTTGTCTCATTCTGACATTTGCGAGATACCTGTTGCTAGAAAGTGGCAAAACAATATTTAACTAATCAAGTGTTTAAAATGTTTATGAGTAAGAGAGTTAGAATATACTGGCATATAGACGACCTGAGAGCCCGAAAACGCTTGACTAATTTTGATATGTCATTTTGTGCGTTAGCTAGTGATGTGATGTGATTTTACTTACAAGGACTATCGCAAAATGATTGTTAAGAAAGCGGAAAAAGATTTAAAAAAAATTGTTTAGTGCATGAAATTGAATAACTTAAAAAAATTACTGAATTTTTACCATGATAGTTCTAAAATAATTAAAAAATATTCATATAACATGTTCCTAGGAATAAGCTGAACCTACCTGCCTTTTGTTGGATTTCAATTCAAATGTAAAAAATCCCAAGTGACTACCGATAAACTTAAAAAAACACTCCCCAAGAATCAGATCGGAAAGTTGTATTTTAGAGTTATGATCTTTGGAGAATAATATTTACTGCCATGGAAAGTTTCCCCTGATTTTTTTTTAACATATTGGTAATACGTATAGGTAGATACTTAACTGAGTATATACCTATTTAAATTTTATATATTTTGTAAAATGTTTTGATGGCAAAATAAAAACGGGGACATGGATAACATAATGGCTACTTTATTATTCATATAAGTATTACTTTTGATAATTACAAACATTTAGTAATTAATAATTACATTATTGAAGTTTATTTTAACATTCGACTTATATAATATGAATGTAAACTTAATAATTTAAGTAAGGAAACTTGTAGGAATCAGTTAAATAAGATTGGTTTGTTTAAAGGCAAATGTTTATATTCAAATGTATTGTGTTGTAACTGTTGGAGAACCCAAAAGAAAAGATCCGCCGATAAGTTGCAGGCTGTAGCGGTGTAACCTCAAACTTACCAGGGCTCGGCCACACCTGACCATGTCGAATTAGCCGTCACGACATCTTCCTCATTGATCATTGTTGTAGCGAATTCTAACAACCTCTCGGAATCAAACCCCAATTTTCTCGACTACATAGTATTGAAAGTAAACTGTAACACTTATCAACATGTTAGAATACAAAAAGACTACTTATTTTTTTCAATTCACAGCACGTTAAAGATAAACATTGATGTACCTAACATCACTATACGTTTTGAACTTTAAAATGTAGCCCGCGTAAATCATATTTCACATGAACTATCAAATTATAACAAAACTCGTCAAGTTAAATTTCCACTGATTGCAAAATTATAACTCTAGCATTTCTTTCGACATTTTTTAACATATTTGGGTACGTTAAGAAACAATGAAATTACTCGCGGGTACTTTTAATATAAATCGAATAAAAAGATTTAACTTTTAAAAATTTTAAATAAAATTTTTATTATGTCAATGTCATAAATAGAACAGCAAATTTCATGACGACATTTAACATAAAAACAAATGCGATAATATGATACGAGAGTCGCATCGTAGTCCTTCACAAACCCTCACACTATTAAAAGATTATATGTGGGCGGTAACAGGGATGTTAGAAATTATCTTCAAAAGTATTTAAATAAAAGAACCTACTACCTTTTTTTACCCTTGTCCCCGACAATAGTATATACGCCACCCAAAATTATTTTGTCATTTCAGATTCTACCTACACCAGTACAGTTGACAAAGCCCGAAACTTTGTCGGAAGAAGATATTCAAATGGATAATAAATGCGTGGACTGCATTGCGAAGTATATCACGAATAATTCTGCTATGAAGAGTCAGCAAGAACTAGCTTTACAGGGCTTTAGAGAAGATTATCAGCAATTAGTAGATCTAAGTCGCGGCTTGAAGAAAGCGCACGGAAACGCCTAAGCTAATTAGTAACCGTTAAATATTTAGTTAAGCATTTATCATTATATTTATCTTTTAGTAGTTGATTAATGAATGGAACCTACCAAGTAAATGTAAAAATGCGGTTTTGTTTTATTTTTAAAAATTATACGTTTCTCAATTATTATATAATATCGCCTCACGGAGGTTGTAAGAGGCGACAGCGGGAAACCAGATGGACAGCAGCACCTTACCAACAACAACAAGAAACATAATATTCAATATTTAGTAGAAAAAATAAATTAAAACTACAAAACTAATATACAGTCCTGATCGCTTATCACTTCAATTATACTTCGCGTGCGTGCGTGCGTAAAAATTTGGTAAACAGGCGTTTGATAACAGTTTATGGGGTTGTATCGCTTTTGTCTCAAAAGAGGAAAGGATTTAAAAAAATGTATTTTTAATAAAGCCCTTTTTATAAACAGTTAGATTTTCAACTCCTAATAGGAGCGTTCAAGGATGGTGATACAACAATACCTTCAATATGGCTTACTATGGTTTTTTTTTACATTGAATCATTTGAACTTTAGAGCACCACCCCCAGAAGACTGATTTAGGTTCTTATCAGCCGCGTTTTAAATGCCTACGTCAACTGTCTTTACGAGTATCGTATTTATGAAACCATAAAGATGATGAAACCGTAGTCATTAAGGGCATCATTTATTACTTCTAAATATTTTGTCAGTTGACGAAGTAGTAGTTTTTTTTTATGGAGAAATGCCTACGCTTCGCACCGACTAAAACTATATGGTGTTCTACCTTCGCCGCATATTGCCATGGTCAATGAACATTTTCCACAACGCCAGCCGCATAGAAAGGCGCGCTGGCGTTGTGGAAAATGACATTCCTTCCCCCCCCCCCCCCTCCCCCCGACCGCACCACCACTGCATTAGCTATGCAGTCCCGCCAGTTTTTTTTTATAGGAGAGGGGCACAAGAGAGAGACAAAGGGGTTCTTTTTAGCGGTAAACGCGCAAACATGTGTCTTCTGAGGATTAAACTGAACCAGATTTAGTCACCCCCAATCTCTGAGACTTTGTTCAGCAAAGACTCGACTTCAGACACAAGTTTGTTCCGGTACTCGGCGACGTTTTCCCGAGAAATATTGGCATGGCCGGTGTATAGAGCATCACCAGTGCATCCGCATAGCAATGAATGTTATCAGTTAGCAACATATCATTGATATCCAGAAGAAACAGCGTTGGTGATAGCACACAGCCTTGTGGAACAGCGGTGTTAAGCTGAACGCACATTTGTCCGCGCCGCACGCGCCGTACGTGCCGTACGCGCCGAATTTTACTAATAGCCTCGCACATTTGCCCGTACACATCGTCCGCGCCGTACGCAAATCTTTTGTATTACCAACAACTTTAGTAGTTTTTTCGAACAACTGGTGTGAAACGGTACAGATTGATCGCTCGAAATCACTATGGAAAGCAATTTAGTATTAGCCTGCTTATTGGCAGAGGAAGAAGAAAATAAAATTCGAAGAAAAAGAAGATTCTGGATTCATAATATTAATTTAAAAAGGCACTTGTATTTAGAATATGAAGGGGATATACTTTATTAAAAGACTTATTAGATGATGATGAATGATTTTTTTAGATATTTGCATTCAACATATAAGACATTTCAAGAAATGCTACATGTACTAAAACCATATCTTTCTATGGAAAACTCAAGATTTAGTAAGCCAATTGAACCAGAAAAAAGACTTGTTGTATGTTTGAGACTATTTTTTTTGTTAGTTCAGTATTTAAATAATTTATCGCTAAGAATACATAATGATAATCGATACAAAAAAAATCAAATTATGTATAATTAATTACAAATGAATTAAAAGTTCTAAAAATACAAAAATTATCATGTAAGTCGAAACCACCGGTTATAGTGGAAAATCCACTAAATTGGCAACATTAGACAACACTGAGTATCAGCACGCGCCGAACGCGCCGCGTTATATGACGTCATCAGCATTCGCCCTTCGATATCGTATACCTACCGCATTTTATAAAATCCGGCGCGTACGGTGCGGCTGTAATGTGCGAGGTTTCATATGATTTCATACAACGAATTCTAAAATTCGGCGCGTACGGCGCGTGCCGCGCGGACAAATGTGCGTTCAGCTTTAATAGGCTTGTAGTTAATAGATAGGACGATTGGCGCTTCGCAACTCCGCCTCGCCTGCGGAGGAACTCGCCTCTATCAACACACATCGGAGTGGCCCATTTGGATTGACCCCTCGAGCCGGCCCATCACTGCGGGCCAGCCACGTGGGTTTTTCTAAGTTAGGAATCAGGTCCAGATGGGGAGGGAGGTTGGAGCAGGTATACACACACACACACACGTATATATATATATATATATATATATATATATATATATATATATATATATATATATATGCATATATGTCTGTGTGTGTGTGTGTGTGTATGCGCGCGTGTATGTGTTGTGGAACACGAGTGATTTACGATGGTATGTGGCACTGATGATCTTGATCCACCGTTTACTATTTGACTGCGAGTCGTTAACAAGTAAATAACGCGTCGTTAACAAGTCTAATATTCTGCTAATAATTTATTGTATAATTATTTAATAATTTTAAACTGGAGGTAGCCGTGGTTAACTATGACATTGGGACGTCGAACACCTAAGTAATCCCGTGAACATGGGTGCTGTAATATAATATAAGTTAATATACGCGATAAAATCCATAAAAACTAGTTTCATTTAAGGTTGGGTGTTCCTGTTTTTGTCCGTTTTAAAATTGGTTTTTGATAGGAATATTATTACATTTAGAATCTGACAAAAATATTTTAGATACATTATTTCTCTTTACGATGTACCCAATCAATACACGATACAATACAATTTTCTCATAGGGGAAAAAAATATCGAATTACGTTCGATTTGCAGTTTTTTACGAAACAAATTTCATTTTAAACAAGTACCAATACTCCTTTTTTCTATAAATAATATCAATTTATAGGTAATTCATTTTGGAATCTATTTTACTCGATCGTTTTTTTTTCCCATTACATTTATTAAGAAAATTATCGACTTTTTTAAGTGATTTTGGATCACCGGTCAATGCTCAGATCATAGAAACAACAAACAACTGTTGTTTCTATGATCTGAGGGTCAATGCGTCGCTTGTCAGTCTTCGCTAGGAGTAAAAGTATTTTAAGGCTTATTACATTACAAGATTTCTCGGGCCCTGCCCGCAGGGACAGGGTAGTGTAATAAGAAACAGGAAGTCAGGGTCCCTAAACAGGGCGACCGAGTGGTTCCGACCGCCCTGCTTCCCTGCCGCGCTGTGGATCGTGCAGTGTAATAAGAGACAGGGAGGCAGGGAGCTCAGTTGCGTGGCCGCATGCGCAGAGTCTACACGTTTGTTTATTTAAAGTTCTACTATGTCGATCTACTCTCTAAATAATTACTCGTATTTATGTCATGCGCTAAAGAAAAAGATCTTTTCAATGTCATCGACATCTACAAAGATATGCCTTGTCAAATCTTGATAGGGGTTTCCAGTGGCCAAAATCGTAAAGTGACAACCAATCTCTCTTAAAAAAGTATTCTTTTGAATAAAACTTCTTTTACGGATTCTATCGCGTTTAATATTTTTTTTATTAATTCCCGACGTTTCGGGTGCTTTACCACCCATGGTCACGGGGGACTGGTTGCTGTAAAGCATCCGAAGCGTCGGGAATTAATAAAAAAAAATTAAACGCGATAGAATCCGTACAAGTAGTTTTATTCAATGTGTAGTGTTCGCGTAAATATAAGAAATCATTAAAGTATTTTTTTTTTCTATTAAAAGCGTTACTAAGCTTAATAACTCGTCGAATTGGTTTTCACCTACTCTTTAAAATAGTTTCGTACGTCTGTTGGGTCCAAAACGCTGACTATTCGATAGTTTTTCTCTGAGGAGTAAATATTTTTTCATCCACATTTAACTTTCCTTCCTTTTTTTTAGCTTGGCCTTGCACGCTACCGCCAGCCAAAGTTTTTTTTTTACGAATATATTTTATGTCTACCTACAAATGCTCCAGTAGAAAGAGTATTTTTCTATTTTGAATAAATTGTGAACGTCTGAAAAAAACACTTACGGTTCCAGTTCTAAAGGCGATGCTGATAACAAAGGTAACAATAAAAAAACTTGCCCAGAATTTTATTCTTATTTAAAATTATCATAACTTTATTAAATCTAATTTAATCCACTGACAAATGTAATTAATAATTTAAAAAAATATGTTGCATTTAATAATTACCGTCTATACCGAATATAATTTTATAGTGAACACTAATTGTATAAAGTTATAGTTTTTAGAGTATAAATAAACCCCTGTCCTGTTTTGAGTTAAAAAATAAATGGTCAGTTTAGTTTTTTTTTTAGTTTTAAAAAATTTTAGTTTATACGGGTTTTTGGGTTGTAATTAAATGATGCCCGGGTAGGTATTAGTACTTACTTAGTAAAAGTAGGTAACTATTTAGATAAGTACCTTTTATCTAATCATAATACCTACATAAGTACCTATTGTGATTAGTTATACTGGGTAGGTATATATACTTTTTACCGAATTACTATACCTACTAAGATATTGAGGTTAGGTATTAGGATTATTTTTAACAATATACTATACTGATAATATTGAATTAGCTTTTTTATAGTGTAAATTATAATATTTGTCGAAATGTTAATTATGGATTCAAACCTTACATGCTAATGGTGCTTAATTTTTACATTTGTATTAACTTCAAAGAAAATACACGCAAAAAGATTCATCGCGCAGTAAAAAACACAACAAATATATGTATAACTAATATGAAAAATTATACCCAAAACAAACAAATAATAGTACCTATAAATAACCTAATAAGTAATGATAATATTATCGACTGATAAGATGACGTGAGCGTGTGTGCTGGCCAACGGCGTGACTAACGACACGGGTTTCACCTTCAAGAGCTTAGCGCCTCTCCAGTATTATATATTAGTCTATGTTAGCGCCCACTAACTCCAGTAAACCCTCTGGGCAGTGAATACGCCCAGTTTTTAAAATAATTTTTAATAAAATCAAATTTAGGTTTTTTGAAAAAAATTTTATGATAGAAATGTTCATTAATAAATTGCATATCCATTAGTGTCAATCGCAAAATAAAATAATGCTTACTTTACGAGGAGATGCATGTTATCAATAATTATTTCACATTTATATGGTTACGTTGTAAGGAGATTATTTTAATATTTATTCCTTTTGAAAAAAATTGGATATGACTCTTATGGCATCTAGATTATGTAGAAATATAATGTGTTTTTTATTAGTTGATATATCTTTTTAATAAAAAGTAGATAGCTCCTAAAACCTGCACAAATAACGACTAGCGCGACATTTTGCTCAATCATGCGCCTCAAGAATAACTCAAAAACTATTGGTCTGACCTTCAGAAAATTGGACCACAAGAGAAGTATCAGCTTTCAAATAAAAAAGAATCATCGAAATCGGTTCACCCAGTAAAAAGTTATGAGGAGGAGTTATGACACATAAAAAAACATACAGTCGAATTGAGTACGGTCTCCTTTTTGGAAGTCGGCAGAAATAATTAAAAATTAAAAAATTTGTACTGTCGAATTCAATATAAGTTATTAAGAATAACTCAAAAACTATTTGTCTAAAGCGCGGCGCCCATCTAAGTAACGTAACGCGTGATCTGACGCGTGATTTGACGCGTAACTTGTCACTCGCCTCAACATTCAAAGAGATTGTATGTAGTAGCGCCCATTAGCGTGGCGTGATGCAGCATGACCTGATGTGCCATTCAGCTTGCTACTAGTGACGCATTGAAGTGGCGCGTAACACTTAACTTGCAGTGACTTGTCTATACAAAATGAAAGACGACCTATCTTTTTTTCTTTTCATGAAAGGCCATGTATACAATATGATTGTTCTAGACCCGATTACATTAACAGGAATTCGCAAGATACTTCTTGCAACTTGTAGTGACTTGCCTATGCAAAATAGAATTGTAATTCCTTCATAGCATTGAAAGTACCACCACTTTTCAATTTTTTTACTCAAAGCATGTACCCGAAATCTTTTGCTGGCTCTTGGAATGTTTGAAATCTGTAGCATAGCAAGGGCATGTTTATCTTCTTCAGACGACATTTTGGCTCAAACTGAATTCTGCGATATGCTATTGTTGCACAGGTTGGCGCAAGCAGTGTCACCCGTGGTCACGTCAGAGTATCGTCAGAATCATGCTACAAGCCATGTCGAAATCATGTAGCTTAGGTGGGCGCCTCGTTAACCTTGATCAAATTCATATGGGACACGAGAGGTACCAGCTTTCAAATAAAAAAAGAATCATCCAAATCGGTTCACCCAGTAAAAAGTTATGAGGTAACACATAAAAAAACATACAGTCGAATTGAGTACCGTCTGCTTTTTGGAAGTCGGCAGAAAATAATCAGAATCTTATTTGGAATTGCTACTTAATTTACCTACAGTGAGAGAAAATTAGTCTGGCCCACTAGGATGGGTAAATGAAGTAGGTAAACTCACTGTTAGCGGCAGCAACGATCAGCTTCAACTTGGCTTAAACAATATCTTCGGATGTGGAAGGCTTCGGTCTTTATTGACCATACTCCTACGTGATTTTATAGTCTATACTCACAGCTGGGTCGACCCGACATACTCACTAACGCTTAATTATGTTGATTTTCTCTTGGATGGTTTTTTTTACGGCTCACCTGATGGTAAGTGACTACCGCCGCCCATGAACAACCGCAACACCAGGGGAATTGCAGATGCGTTGCCGGCCTTTTAGAAAGGTGTAAGCTCTTTTCTTGAAGCTGCCGAAGTCGTATCGGTTCGGAAAAATCGCCGGTGGTAAACAATTCCACAGAGAAGTTGTACAAGAAAGAATACTCCTAGTAAAACGTACTGTCGTGGAACGCCAAGCATCCAGATGGTGAGGGTAGTATCGTGAATTTTGACGCGATGTGCCGTCATGAAATACTGTGTTGCTCTGCTGAGCACGCTAAGCTTTTTAGAGCCCAATTTGGCCTTCCCTTCCAAGTGACCACGAAACTGCACACTATTCGATATGTCGACGCCGAGGATTCCAATGCTAGCTGAGGCAGCAAGGGGAGTGCCTTGAAACTGAGGAGATACGACAAGGTGGTTCTTTTTAGCGGTAAACGCGCAAACTTGTATCTTCTGAGGATTAAACTGGACTAGATTTAGTCGCCCCCAATCCGAGACTTTGTTCAGCAAAGACTCGACTTAGACACAAGTTTGTTCCGGTACTCGGCGATGTTTTCCCGAGAAATATTGGCACGGCCGGTATATAAGGCATCACCAGTGCTGTCGTCTGCATAGCATGAATGTTATCAGTTTGGCGACATATAATTGATATGCAGGAGAAACAGCGTTGGTGATAGCACGCAGCCTTGTGGAACACCAGCGTTAATAGACTTGATAGGTTTAGACAAGGACAACCATAACCGATGCGGTTCTTTTTGATTTTTAATTTGAATGTGGGAATCGATCAGACGCTTTTGTTGTAGACCAACAGATGGCACAATAAGTTTAGTTTTGCATAAAAAAATTATGGAAGGATGCGATAGAAAAGTAAGGAAGGCAATCTAGTACAATTACGTAAACTGTAGATAATGACTAAAACGTTGTGATTAATACTCTTTGGTAATGACTGTTTACTCGTACGTTTTATTCGTTTTATTGCCTACGTTGTGCCAAATTAACAACGCACTTACATAAGTAATATTTTTATCAAATTTTTACAAGGTATTTTTAGTATATTTTTTTATACTTAATATATTATGTTAGGTGAATAGTTTATTAATTTTAACAAATATGCCTTTTTATCGGGAACCAAAACAATTTACTCCATTGTCTATTTTATCTGATAAAAAATCTGTTAAAAACTGTCTGCATCACTCCATATTTACATCAAGGCTTGATAAGTACGTTGGCGAATGGAAAAATGACTTGAAACACGGTAAACATTGAGAATTTTATTCTGCCCCGATATTATTTTTAAAGAAATACTTAAGAGATACAATATGGAATTATTATCTTACAGGCAAGGGATTATTTTTAACTATAAGTGGTAAATTATACGAGGGAGATTGGTATAATGGCTACAGGTATAGTGCTGATAAATATTGAAATGTATTTAGTTTAAAATTAACGAACAATTTAAATCAAATTTGAATGTGTAAAAAGAGCAATTTAAGTACCTATAATCACACTTATTATTTAATATCTCAGACATGGTTTTGGAACCTTATGTTATCGCCTGCCAAATGGTACTTTTCGTTTGGAGTACCGCGGTGATTGGGTCAGAGGTAAACCAGACGGTATTGGCTGGTGCTATTACAGAAACGGTGATATTTATTTTGGGTTTTGGAGAAGAGGACATCGACATGGTTACGGAAAAATGTGGTACAACAACAGTACTGTGTATGTTGGATACTGGTACATGAATGATAGAGAAGGTTTAGGCATGCTGGTGCAAGGTAACGATTTATTAGAATGTTACTCAAGTTTAAATATAAACCAATCATAAACACGCACACGCAAGCACTTAAGTACCTACACCAACATGCACATATTTTGCGCGCGAGAAATATAGACGTTCTTTCAAATAAATTTTAAACTTATTGCCTACTTGGAAAAAGGCTTGACCATAGATTGTTAATTAATCTATTTGACACCAAGTTTTGAGGGGTTTTCAGATGATGGTAACAGATACGAAGGACAATGGAAAAGTGATAAAAGAAATGGCATCGGTCGGTTCTACCACATGAATACTGGCCAGCTGCAAGAGGGTTGCTGGCGCAACGATGTCTGCGTCAAGTCCAAGATGTTGGATATTGATGTGCGACAATTTTGTGTCAGACCCACGCAATATCCTATACCTCAGGTATATTTTATATAAACAAACGTATACTCATTGGTCAGCGTATTTGACTATATCCAATCGCAGGTCCTAAGTTTGAACCCACCCCGAAATCAAAATAAATGTAGGTACATCTGTATCACCAGGGATTGCAAGTAGTAGGATTTTTTCTTAAAGGTCCCTAAATTGTATTGCTTCGGAAAAACCACTAGCGATAGTAAAATGTTGTTGTGCGTGGCAGAAAATTCCGCATTAAACGCACAGTAGTGGGCCGCCAACCATCGAGATGTTGAGGATAGAATTTCGTATTCTTTTCGTTACTTCTTTCTAAAAGACCGGCAACGCACCTGCAATTCCCCTGGTGTTGCAGTTGTTTATTGGTGGCGGTCGACGGTTACCATCAGGTAAACTGCATGCTCGTCTGTCTGCTCTTCTATAATAAAAAATTACACATATATGTGTAATACAAATTAGACAAGCGTAGATAAAATATAAAAGCACAGTAATGTCACGCTAGGAACACTACAATTACTAACGTAATCACTACAAGTTCAAAATGCTTATTAGAAGTGGTTTACAACTGTGGTCGCTTTGTGGATTGAAACCCACGATTTTTCGAGTTTGTAGTCCTTATATATCAAGGCGTCTTTTTCACATACGTGCTAAAGCCATGATGCAGCTATATCAGTAGGATAGTTATAACACGAATGGGTCGGCTTGACAGGGGAAGGACCACGCTCTCACAGAATACAAGCGTAAAATAGCAGCTTAACGCTGCTGTGTTTCTTATGGTGAGTGTAGAGAACCGGAGACCCATTTTACTGGAAAAGAGGCATTCCATTTTAGTCCTCACGGGTGACGACGCATCTGTATTTTGATTCTTCATTGAGGATAAATGTAGATGTCTATGGGTCATAGCAGCCACTTATATTCCTCTGTAAAATCGATAAACTAGAACATGTGAAGTCCGTCACTTACACTATTGCATTGTCACGTCATCGCTCTTCTTGCTCCATAATTCCATAAAAGTTAAAATCCGTGTCAGAATTGAAGTGTTTATTACCAATTCGTTTTTTTTCAGCACTTTCATTTACCATTGAAGTCTATCAAAAGTTCATTCCTGGACATAAGCCTTTTTATGACTTGTCTCATCTATCTATCTTATATCTGACTCCTTCGTTGGTCTAGTGTCCGGAAACACGGTTGCTGATCATGAGGTACCGGGTTCGGCCTAAATCAGTTATTGGGGTTTTCTGTCATGAAATTGTCAGTAGCAGTCCGAAGTCAGACATTTGGGAGTGTTTCACGCCAGTGCCTCGGAAAACACCTAAAGCCGTTGGTCCTGCGCCTGATCTATCTCCCGACGTGATTACCGTCCCATCGGACTATGAGACAGGAATACAGTGCATTTATGTTTGCACATAAACTCGCGCATATGGCTAGTCTACGTCGGAACCGAAATTCGGTATGAAGGGCATAATTATTATTATCTTATATCCCCCATATTTGCTATAGTTGCCAATCTTGGCTGGCGGTATATTTACTTTTTAGTTGTTATTAGGAAACGCTGTTGCCCATCTCGTTTGTTTACCCTCTGTCACCTCTTACGACACCCACGGGACGATATAAGGTAGTAGATATTCTTACACCGCCACTACACGGTACACTAAGTTTTAATTTAATTTTTATATTTGCAGGAAGGCTTACAAAATTCACGTAAAATTCTCCAAGAAAGTGAGCTTTGGCTGAGTATGAAAATTGGGAACATTGATGAGCAATTAAAAAACTGCCTTGATTAAATTAACTGTTTATTTAATATCAGATCGTCCAATATATAATATTGTAAATTGTAAATAGCTACTTATTTAGAATATTTTTACAAATAATCAAACCTTATTCTAATACAATATAATATAGGTATTGACGAATTTCGCTACTATGTCATTCATATATCACAGAGCAATTAATTTTATTGAATTAAGTAACTCTTATTATATTTCGTCATTTATCTATAAAATATTCACAGCTTTTAGGATTTATTATACTAATACTATTAAGTGCAAACCCGAACCAACCACAACAAATTTAATATAAATTAATTATAATATATTTATTATTTAGTAGGGTTATTCCGTTTATCCACCTTAAGAAATCCTAGTAGGGCGGATAGTCGAAAACGCGTGTTCGTTTATCCACCCCAGACGGGAATTCGTATGTTATTTTTCTTCCGATTTTCTCCCTCGGCTGTGTACCTACAGTCCATAGATTACTGTATGTGTACGGTCATTTATAAAAACATGATAGAAACTGACATTAGATCACTTAGTAGACATTAGCATACTTATAAAAATACATACTACTTGTTTAAAGGTCAAAACTGAAATACTTTTAATTGTTCTATTACATATCATTCGCTGTGACATAATTTACGTCACTGAATAATGATGATAATATAATGGCTTGTTGATGGCGTTTGTGAGTTACTATGAAAAGACATGGCTCGAGGACAAAAATTATGTGGCCGTTTGGAATTCATTCGGAGTGCTTTACAGAACTACAAATTCATTGGAATCTTGGCTTGAAACAATAAAAAATTAAAGACAAACGTCCAAATTTAGTAAAGTTTTTTTTAAAGGAGACGGGCAAACGAGGATGAGGGTCACGTGATGGTAAGTGGCTACTGCCGCCTATGAACAACTGCAACACCAGGGGAATTGCATGTCGAAACATGTAACGATGCAAGTGTCGATGGATGCAGGCGTTCCTTGGAGGAGGCGTATGTTCAGCAGTGGATTTGTGATGGGCTGCAATCATAATGATGATGATGAAGTTGAAAAATAATATTCCGAATGCATAATTTCTCTTCACTATATCTTAAAAGTAGTCCGATGTAATGTGAAAATGTATTTTGCAACCACAAATAAGTTTTTCAATATGTGTGGTGGTGCGGACTAGACATGGAACGAGCAGTGATTCGCCAGTACTCGGCCACCGAGTACTGACGAATCACTACTAAACTGGCTTTTTGTCTTTATTTTTTCTCTGGAATATAATTAAGGTCGAGTACTCGGTACTCGGCCGTTAATACTCGATGATCGGCCGAACACTAAAAAAGGCCAAATCTGCCGATTACCGAATCCAAACCGAATACTCGTCCCATATCTATGCGGATCGCGAACTCGCGGAAAGTTTGTGGATTCGAATCAGCCAATCGACTACTGTCGTGAACCACTCCCAACACAAGCATTTTAAGATTGCCAGGAGTGGTTGAAGTTAATATTAGCAATGTTAATAGCATTAGTAGTATTTAAAAAAAATGTCCCTACTTGCAATTTATTTACGTATAGCGTGTCGATATCGTCATCGTCGACCGAGTGGGGTTCATTTAAATACGCACACATTACCTCCCTAGTGAAACAACCAAAAATAATAAATAAGCGATAAGTCCACATTATTACGTATGTATAACAAACAATTACTTAAGTATAACATGTATGTTTAACGTTACATAAAAATCAGTAGTAAATTTTTCGAAAACCTTTGTAAAAGGAGCGAGTTTTCAGTTTATTTGGCTGTAGATATTTTTATCTACCTACCTACTTTCGGGTGTACTGTGTTTTGTTAGTTTTGTTTTATAGAATAAAACAATGAGGACTTTTTTTAACTTTTGTTATTGTAGAGTCTAACTCCAAGTACTTTTATAATATTTTTGATACTTTAACCTTTCCATTATTCTTAGCGAAGTTTATACAACTTTACAAAGTTACTTCAAACAAATTCGCGTAAACTTAAGTTAAAATCTCGACAGTGAATTATTCATAATAAAAGCTCGAACTACGGTAAATCTTAAGATTTTCCAGTAAAACCTAGGATTTACCAAGTCTTAATGGTAAAAGTTCAAACTGTTCTGTGGTAATCGTTAATTTCGGACTTTTACTAAAATTAAATCTTAATTTTTATCTCAAAGACACGTAAAATGTTGAAAATAAAAACAGGCTAAGTGCAAGTCGAACTTGCGCACCGAGGGTTCCGAACAAATCCGTAGGTATATAAGTTTAAAATTATTAAAATTATTTTATTATATGATGTAACCAAAAATTTATGCTTTTCGCAATTTTTCCTTTATCTGTGCTATAATACGTTGCTTCGCTGCTGTAGGTTTTGATTCCCTTGCGAATGTCGAAACTTTGCGACATAAACGGCTGTACCTTTTGATTGCGTTAGCTTAGAAGTTTGATTTTTGATTAGGTCACAGCTCTAAGGGACAGTAGACTTGAGTATTTGATATGAATTTCAGCTTGATACCTCCACGCGTTCCTGAGAAAAAGGGTCTTGATAGACAACAAAGTGATCCTATAAGGGTTCCGTTTGCTCGTTTTGAGGTACGGAGCCCTAAATAGTCACGTCTAGAAGTGTTTGGCGCATTATCGTGCTCGCGGACTATTTGCAGTGTCACCTTTCTCCGCTCGACACAGTCGATCGCTTAATAGGTGCGTTTTGGTTGTCTAGAAGTATTTAAGAAACAAAATGAGTATGATACAAATATTTTATGGAATATGAACATAAAAACTCGCCATAAAAATATTTTAAAATGTATTCTGTTACAATGTTTAATAAGTACTTTCTACTTATATTATATACATATTTTTATTTCCAAAACCAACATTTACTAATAGTCATTGGTAAAACCTAGCATGTACCAAACTCTAATAGTAAAAGCCCCAAAAATCCTCTCATTTTATACCAAACCTTAAATTTACTAGCTCATGTTGGTAAATACTAAGATTTAAAAGAAAATCCTAAGATTTACCCAAATACGGGCTTTCATAGTAACACATACATACTCTTCTTTGACAGCCTTCCTTAATCCATTATCAATTACGCCTTGTCAATAATGTGTCAACGAACTAACATAACGAGAAAGAATTACCGATGCTCACTAAGCTGATCACGTAGACAGACCCAAGATTTGATGATGGTGTTCCCATCACGTGCCCTTGGGGTGGGGGTCTCGAACGCCCAGTAATGTAACCTCCGAGGTAGACGATACCTCGGAGGTGATTTCGAGACATCGTGATAGCACTGCGGTGGTGCTTCGGATAGTAAGTGCTAATGGAGCAGCCCCGATTGCGTTCCAAAGAGTGCCGGGGGGATGGTAACCACCGAGGGGTTTTAGCTGATAAGAGTCCGGCATAACTTATCGCTGCTATTGCAGCGGAAGGTATCCACAGGGTAAAATAAGGAGATACATAGATAAAACAAGACGACGATTTATCAACGTTAAAAAAGATCCGACATTTGCTTCGCGCAGGTAAAGATGGAGTTCATGTAAGAATAAAAGGTATTTTAAATGAAAACAAAAAGTAATAATGACTTTTGGTCTTTCTTTCTCTCATCGCTAAATTTTACGTACTATTTTTTGTCGGATTTTAGATCACTGTAAAATTTACTTAAGAGTACAATCGGTAACAATATGTACTTCACCGTCAATATTACAAAACGGACCATAAATTTAATGACATACTGAAAGTAAAACGTTCAAAATTCAATCCCATAAAACATAATATTGTTGAAACTATAACATACCACAACCAACACATTGAATTCTTAAAGGAACATGCCTAAAGGATAATATGAAATAATGAAAAAGTATAACATTTAAACTAAAATTTTTCGAGATACTCTGTAACACAATTTTCAATATACAACACGAGGACACGTTTCAGCAATTTTGTGATCGATAACAATGGCACAATGTTAATATATTGCGTTAACATTATAATCTAAATAAACTATACTATTGAATTGTATAGTGTTCAAAAATTGAATTAAACATCAATAAGATTTGAAGCACGTGATGCACAGTAAGTACTGATTCTAAAATATTATAATTTTTATGATTTTCATTAATGAATATCAAAGGAATAAAATACATTATATCAATAACAATAATAATTTTTCAAATATTTGCTTGTCAAAGTCTATCGTTTCTTAAATCGATTAAAGTACACAAGTTCTTACAATAATAATTAAGGTTCTATATCTACGTTATATACAGTGGCGTATCATTGGTTTCTGTCATCTGGCCAGTACAGACAAGACAAGACTTCCCTGTAAAGGTATCATAAAAAATAAAATCGGGAGGTCTTTATTGTTTATGTTATTTTAAAATGAGTAGAACTTGATACTGTATTTTTTATTTTTATTCGTACCCTTAGCATGTGTATGAGCGAATTGTCTATTTTCAAAACTTTCTATGCTACTAATAAAAAATGTTCAGGAAGCAGTCATTTTCTGATATTTTTACTTGCAACATTTAAAAAGTAAAAAATGTTCTGTCTTTTCTTTTATAAAATAACACGTCCTCAACTGTCACCCATGAGCCTTGGTTTTTTAGCCCCCTCTCTTTGCTATGTCACTGATTATATACCAAAGTATAGACGTTATTGCTAATATACGATAATAATTATGTTTTTATATAAACTATTGATTACAGAGAGAAAATATCGAAACAGAAAAGTACATTTAAGAGAGTATACATTTACAAATTAAATTAAACTGGACTGTCCAGTTATACAACACTGTGGTGTAAACATTTACAAATATGGTACTAAGTACTGTGTTAAGTAAGGCATCGTTTGTTATTTCTGTATTGTTGTTCTAGTATATAACAACGCAAAAAATAACATCACTAGTGTATATGAGCGTAACTAATTTAAATATAAATTAACAATACGGAAAACAATACAATATAATTAAAAATATATCAAACTACTCTACCTTGATCTAGTAAGGTAAGATTGTTCATCCGACCGTCATGATCACCCTTCTCAATCTGTTCTTTGAGCAGTTCAAGCTCCTTTATACCAGTGACCGTTACCTCGTATTTGTGCGTCGCTAATGACATATAAAAATGAATTGCAAAAGCCAGGAAGATAATCATTACTGGTATAAGAACTACGCAAGCAGACCAAGCGGCTGTTTCACTTAAGTCGTAGAACTTGACCCAGCAGAGTATAGCGATTTCGACCAGGAACAAAATGAGACCAAGTAACGTCGAAAAGGCCCAAGCGACTTCAATGTACCAATGCAATCGCTCATGCGGCGATTCGTGTACTAGTGATATGCTGTGTAGGTTACCTATCGCCTCGATGTTCGGTAAAATGCAGGTGCTAATCATGAGCGCTAGCATATGCACAGCTACGAGTAATGTTGTACACACTGTGAAAGCGACCAGCATGGCAGGAGGGACTCTCGTGTCACTCGGTGGATTCAACTGCACCTCAACCATAGCTACCTGTTGACAAAATAAAAAAAAATTATGCATGTTTTTTTATGTTATCCTGCTGTTTTGTAGTTTTGCATGCGATATAAAAAATAATTGACAGTGTGTAATCTTATAACAACGTAACTATCAAGGATTAATGAACTTCCTTTCATAGCGCTTGCGTAATCATATTAAATATGTTATTGTTGTTAACATAATAATAATAAAGCAAAACAACATTTATTTCGTTTTGGTTTATTTATAGATTGTTATTAACTAACTTCATCGAATAATAAAACCAACATTATTCTAAGTGCTTAGAGCATAAAAACGTAATTTTAAATAAGTGACTTGTATAGTCTTACTTAGTCTTATAAGGTTGTAAGTTTAGCTAATCGTAAGTATCATGAATTTATTATTTGAGCATCTCCCTTTTCCCTCACACCTGCTATTGCACAACAGCCCGTTAGCGCATGAGCAGAATGACGGAAGGAGGAGGAGCAAGTTAGCTAGGAATACTATAGTAAGTTGTACATTGTGTAAGAATAATGTATTACAATGACTGTTATTGTAATTTAACGATCACCTATAAATAACACATCTCAGGTTTAAAAATACCTGTTTAAATACATATCCGTAATCAACATAAAAAACAATGAAAATGGATTCTAATTATTATTGACAGAAAGTTTAAATTTATGTACCTAACCATTATGCATACTAACTTGCAAAATGACAAAATTTTGTTACTAATTCAAATAACCTTTTTAAAAGTGAAGTAAAAACATATTACACGCAGGTTTTTTTTTAAATTTTTTATGGGGTTATGAAGCGATATCGCAGAAATTTTCCAGTCCAATTGGTGTAAGTGAACCTCAGATATCCACGTAATATCTTATACCTTTAGACATGCAGGGTTTTTCACTGTTTTCCTTTACTTACCGTACGCGTGGTAAATTAGCGCTTAAGATTGCAATCAACAATTTCAATAGTGTAGTAATAGTAGCAGTACATTGGACCCCGCTAATTTTAGACCTACTTCTATACTACCAACTCTAAGTAAAATTTTTGAAAAGTTTAGTTTTTTGAAAAGAACACTACACATTTTAAATAAAACTAATTTTACGGATTTTATCGCGTATATTAACTTATTTTTAACTTATTTTTTTTTATATTCCCGACGTTTCGGGAATTCGGGAATTCGAAACGTCGGGAATATAAAAAAAAATAAGTTAAAAATAAGTTAATATACGCGATAAAATCCGTAAAATTAGTTTTATCCAAATAAATTACTCTATAAAAACCAATTTGGCTTTCGACGTCTGACGCCGGTGTTAAGTTTATGAAATATATTTTTAATTCCTGTGAGAATTAACAAGATGCCTTAGGTATTTTTTGTGATCTTTCCAAGGCTTTTGATTGTGTTCATCATGACACATTAATCAGAAAACTACAACATTACGGTATCAAAAATATTATACTTATTAATATTAGACTTATTATTTCATATTTAAATAACAACTCAAAATGTCGTGATCAATGGTAAAGGTTATTCCGCATCGGTAGTATCAATGGGCGTTCCTCAGGGCTCGATTCTTGGCCCATTCCTGTTCTTAATCTATATTAATGACTTACCTTATCTTGTAGGGGACAGTCACGATATATTATTTTGATGATACTTCTTTAATTTTCAAACTCAAACGGCAGTCAATTAATAATGACGATATACAATCTGCTCTATCAAAATTAGTACATTAGTTTAACGCCAACAATTTGCTCTTAAACGGCAATAAGACAAAATGTATTAAATTTACAATACCTAATGTTAAACATTCGAATACCAATGTGCTCTTATATGGGGAGGAGTTGAGTCTTGTGGATACCACTGTTATTCTTGGTATTACTATTGACACGAAGCTTCAATTGGGCCCCCATATATCTAAATTAGCAACTAGACTTAGTTCTGCAGTATATGCTGTAAGAAAGATTAGAAGTCTCACAGATAATTGATAGAATCAGGTGTTACTTTGCGGAAGTCCATTATCTTAAAGTTGACAAAAAATTACTTTGCGTACATTCGCTCGATAAAATAAAATGATGTGTCTTACCTAGTTTGAAGAGCACCTCCCGCCCTCCCTCAATTGCGTGCACTTTCTCCGTCACCACTAATCCCAGCACCACTACTCCCAACACCACTACACTAGGAAAGACACACCACTGACGCATGTACGCAAAGTAATTTTTTGTCAACTTTAGTCTCACAGATGTTGAGACAGCTAGATTAGTTTATTTTAGTTACTTTCATAGTGTAATGTCTTATGGAATTTTGCTATAGGAAATACTAAAGCCATATTTGTTTTGCAAAAGAGGGTCGTACGAGCGATTTATAACTCAAATTGTAAAGGGTCCATCGGAGAAATTTTTTAAGAAATAAACATATTAACTTCGGCATCGCAATATATTTATGAAAATGTAATGTATGTAGATACATAAAAACATAATACAATAAAAACACTAGGAACAAACATAAGCTTGTAATGGCAGTTACTAGATTCCACAGAATCAGTAATACAACAAAATCCCACAACATGTTCAAAGTTTGTCAATAAAGAAGTATAAAAGATTCGTTACAGAAAAACTGTACGAAAATGGTTATAACTTATTATTATATCAAGGAATACATGAATGAAAATAACCCATGGGATTGAGGAGATCGCCACCATGCCGATTCTATGAACAATTCATTTAAAAATTGTACAAACAAAATTATTGTAAAATGAAATATGTTTAAAAGTCCCGCTGGGTTTCTTGCTGGTTCTTCCCAGGACAGAGCTATTTTCCGAACCAGTGGTAAATAAAAAAATTACTTTCAATAAGTGAAATACTTATTGAAAGTAATTTTAATAAAGTAATAAACCAATAGTAAATAATAATCAATATTGAATAAAAAATCGTTGTGTTCTGTTTTGTCCTGTGCAACAAGGCTCTACATGAGCATTTTGTACATATACGGTGACTTTCTTAGGCATGTTATCTCCATATGTTCAGCGTTTTCTAACATTGACTAGTACAGAGCATAGACACAACGTAGTATCCAGAATCATACAACAGGAGCTCGTTCCGAAATACGTCGTAAAAGATCGCGCCAGGCTCTATTGGGTCTGGGTCATTATCACAGACCAGTGATATTGTGTTGGTGGACCGAGCAAGCATATTTTCGGTCGAGATTATCATTCAATGGGTAGAGAAACTCGAAATTCGAAACAGGTAAGAAAACAAAATCGCCTGGTTCACGTGACCGATATACGAGTTGGTCTGCGGAACGATAATATTATTCTTGTAATAGTCTCTACTAACGGGTTAATCCCGGTCAGCCTCTCAGATCATGTGAGGTAATTGGAAATCCGTGACGGACCGCTCCAGGCTCAAATGCAGAAGACTGTGCTCTCCGATTCCACCCCATCGTCTACCCGTTTCTTTCCCTTTCCTGATAACCCTCGGACGCTTGGTCGCCCATGCAGGGGGCTTCTGTCTGTTTGGATTTTATTCATTTATTTCACATAATTTTATTTTGTATATTATGCTTTTAAGTATAAATCTTATTTAGGCTTATAATATATTTTTGTAAGTATTTATTAATCTCAACCAGATGAGAATAATGTTAACTATGTTGTACTACACAGAATTATGTAATAATGGGAATGGCAATTGGCAACTCAATGTAAGTCACATGACTTATCGTTGATTCCATTCATTATATTACAGTTTTCTTTAAGTGTTAACGATTGTAGAAAGCCAATTTAGCTAATTCCGCTGAACTGAAAAGTTAGCAAAGTAAGTTCACGTATGAAAACATGCGCAATAGCAGTGTGCAGCTTTCGTAAATAAGTCTTGAAGGGACCAGATAGCCCATTCCATGCGGAAGTCATTGTTCTTCTTATTCATCATCATCATCTCGTAAAAGTCTTCTGCTGGGCGCGGGGTTCTCATACTTTAGGGAGGATTTGCTTTAATCGTCACTCTGGCAAGCCGATAGCAAAACGATGGCAGTGTCAGATGTTACGCAACTTTGATGCTACTTCTTGCCGCCGGTATTGGTATTTTTTTTACGTCTGCCGGTAACGATACGCTTATACCGCTATCTATCGGATGTCATAAGATTTTTCTTTAGCCAAGCACATTTATTCCTTTGAAAATCTAGTTTTTTCATAGAATAAGGGTGACAAACGAGCACACAGTCCACCTGATGGTAAGTGGATGCTGTAGCCCATAGACATCTACATTTATCCTCAATTAAGAATCAAAATGCAGATGCGTTATCAGCCATGAGGACTAAGCCGGATTGCCTTTTATCCAGTAAAAAGGGTCTCCGGTTCTCTACACTCACCATACGAAACACAGCAGCATTAAGCAGGTGTTTACGCTGTTATTCTGTGAGAGCATGGTCGTTCCCTCGTCGAGCCGACCCATTCGTGTTACAACCATAATATAGCTGCAGCGTGGCTCTAACACGTATAATATCTCTAATGGTTGTGTCATTTAATGCCTGGCAAAATATTAAATTTGTTCCTTAAAATGTGTTAAAAAAAAACTTTTTTAAATCCATATATTCAGATTTCAAAAGTAAGCAACAATATTAAGTCGTCGGGTCAACATTGCCTTTGAAAACGAGTTACCGTTTAAGTACATAATAGAAATACTTAGTAGGTCATTTCATCGCTTCCGATATATCAAGGTTGTGCAGTAGAGATTTTGCTGTTTGTTCTCAGATATGTGTAAGATATATACCTGCGAAAACATGTAAGTCTGTGCGGAAATAGATTTTTCGGTGCTAACTACGTAGCGTATTTGTAATGATGTCACTACGTGGTCATATAAAATCGACTGTACATGCTTTAACTATTGACTATATTTGATGTAGCTGTCCATTCGTACCATATGTTTGCAAGAATAATTCCAAGATCTAATTGTTAGTTCACTTCGCCACAATGAGAGTTTCGTTTGCGAGTATACACTAAAATAATTCATACTCGTGGCTTTTTAGCCCCTATTACTAAACCTCCGCTGTCCGTCTGTCGGTCGGCGGGCTGTATCTCATGATCCGTAATAGGTAGACAGTTGAAATTTTCACAGAATGTCGCTCTTGTCGCTATTACAACAAATAATATTAAAAATTAAAGGGGGCTCCCCTACTAGAAACGTGTTTTACGATGGTACGGAACCCTTCATGCGCGAGTCCGACTCGCACTTGGCCAGTTTTTTTAAATTCTCAGCACACGTTTTGTTTTGAGCATACAGCGGGGAGGGGAGTTCATCGTGAACGACAACACTCGTTCTTGTATGTAGAACAGAGTCTTGTAAGGTTGAGAGTTGTGGTGGATTATGAGCTGCCACCATCAGTAATAAAAGCGTTAATTGCAGTTAAGTGCTGATTTACCACGTCCACGGCTTTGAGGGAAAACATCAAGGGAAAACTTGCAGATTTGAGAAAATAAATAAAACATAATTAGGGATTGTGAAGTCTGTGAACATGCAATGATGCAGCGCGCGAGGGACTCCCTAAGATCTAGTTATTACCACAACATCATAAGACAAAATGTATACGAAACAGTTAATAAATTCTACAAAACTTATATCAGTTAATAAAACTAGCTAGACTTTGACGTCGTTAATAAAATTAACATGGAAATTTAAACACACAGGTACAATGACGAAATGACTTGCAGCGTATCATCCTGTGTGTTGATGTGTGTTTGCCATATCATTCTATTACATCGTATTTTAAAATATAATCCCTAAATATAAGTGTGAAAAAATAAATATTATATGATTAATAAATACCATAGCAAATCCCGACAGCAAGGCAGATGTTTTACTGGAGGCTTTGAGCTTAGCGCGGCTGAGTTGTAGCTTCCTCCAGGACAGGTACGCCGGAGTGTGTAGAGCATCGTCCGTCTGAATTGGTGTTTCGCCCGACATTACACACTGGTGCTGTTGAAAAATTGATTTCGTACAATAAACTGTATGCTTAAAGTAGTGTGAAACTACCATTCACATTATTAAATAATTTCATAATAGTATAGTAATAAGAATTAAGCACTGCAATATGTTTGAAGCTATTTCCATTATTGTCAACACATGGCATGAACAAATGTAATGAACGAACAGGTGAAGAAGTTTTAATGCTGGAAGAAATATAAATGAAAGTATTTGTATACTAAATAGCAATGTTTTTTTTGAAGTTCACTGGAAAAACACTAAGATACTAACTAAAGAGGTTTATGCAGGTATTTGCCAAAAATCCGAACTCCAAATTAACTACTAAAAGTAAAAAAAGCTATATTCTATTACATACTCCTGTTTACCCGTACACCCATTGCCTCAAAAATACAAAAGCATCTATCAAGAAAAATCAGCGACAGTAGGTTGAGGTATAGCTTTTCCAGCTCAAGCTGTGGTCATTCATATAATATATAAATTAAGAACGGAATGCCCCTGTACTCAGTGAGTGAAGCCGGTGGAAGTGTGGATCAAGGTCCATTATGAATACCTCTATAAGTAATATTAATAAATAATATATTGATAGAAAATTTTGTATATAATAGGCCCACTATAATCATCAGTGATGATGATGATATAGACATTGGAATATTGTCTCTTAAAGTTTGATATTGTGGTGTTTGTAATAAAGAGCAGTATTTAGTTCTAGTACCAACAACATGTCTCTTCTCATTTAACACCTTCTTTCATCATTACAATATGCTGTCTTTTTTGCTTATATGGGCATTAGTGAAAACTTTTATAGATATTCTGAACTTATCCGAGAATTAATTAGGAAATGCATCTGATGGTAGACATTTTATAAAGTTAGCCTTACTAATAGTAAATGTAAAAAAAATGTATATTGTACATGTAAGTCCTATGTAAGCTTATGACTCAGACCAACAAGTAAGATAGACATGGTGAATAGAACAAGGAAATGAAGCCAAAAAAGGAATACCATAATATAGTAACATAATAGCAGACCACAATGTTCACTAGTGTGATTCGTAGCATATATAATATAATTGCTACAACAAATACTATAGGGATACCAGAGTACTCTGTCTATCTTATTCCTATGGTCTAAGATTTATGATGGTGAAAAATAAAAAACTATAGCACCAAAATACGTAATCACCCACGTAATTTTACAATACCATGAAATGAAACAATGAATTTGGCACAACACGTAGCATGAGATTATTATGTTAATTACAATGTAGCTGCTACCTTGAGCGGAAAACTAAAGCAATTAAATAAACCCTAGCAATAAATACCACATCAATTCCTTAACTAAATGTATAGAAAGTCAGTACAAATACTTATTTATATGATTATATTATTATTGCTTGCTGCAGATAGTTTCATTGACACAATCCTCAATGCTCTATTTTTCAACATAACTCAATTTAATACTTAAATATTCCATTTTCATATTACCAATGTAGGAGAATTATACCTAGCAGTAGAATACTTTATTTACATTTCTTAAAAAAATATTATTATATTTGAAATTTTAATGTTGGGTTTCCACGCTTGCCAAGTCTCGGCAAGCACCCACAAGCACAAGTGTGTAAAGAGGGTGTTTGTCTTGGCTTGCTTGAGTTTGTGGACGCTTGTCTCCAATCCGGGCTAGTGTCGGTTTTTGGACACAGATCAAAGGGCGCTTGCGGCAAGCGCTTGCAACACATTCACACGTTGGTGCGTGTTTAGTAGAAATTGTGATTTCGCAGCGAGCACATGTTTAGTTCTTTGTTTAAAATGAGTGACTAGTCGAACGAAGAGAGTTTATCGTTTTTGGAATATTACTCGTCTATCTGGAATTTATCTACGCACTAGCTGTTCCCCGCGACTTTGCCCGCACGCAATTTATACGACTGGATTTCATGTGTTTTAATTTTTTGCACGGAACCCCTATTCTTTTTCTAAAATAAAAAGTAGCCTAAGTTACTTCTTATAACATCAGCTATCTGCCAATGAAAGTGGTCAAAATCGGTCCAGCCGTTTCGGAGATTAGCCGGAACAAACGGACAGACAGACAGATAATTTCAAAAAATGTTTTTTTGTTATAAGTAATGAATATACTTGCATATGCATTTAGTTAAAAGCTGTTATTTTGGCGTTACAAACAGACACTCCAATTTTATTTATTTGTATAGATGTCTTATAAAACTTATATTTATTTATGCATGTCTTATAAAAGTTAAAAAAATAACTGCTGAAAGGCTTATCTTCCAAACAATAAGAATATACCAGATGTAATTTACCCAAATGGTGAATGAAACTGCTCATTATGAAAATGCTTTAATATACTTACATTGTCAATGTCTGCCAAAAATGTTAATTATCACTAAATTGTCCAATTTTTTTTTATTTAAGAAAAAGTTTACAACCCAACAGTAGACGACATATATGGGGGCAATGATGACGATAACTGAAGCAGGAGTAGGTAAAACAGTAATTCAAACTGAATTCATACTGAACTAATTAAGGTAAGTGATAATATGATTATAATACAACAATAATAATCACACAACAAATAATACAACACATGTAACAAATGTTAAATACTATGTACCTATTTTATAGAATACCAAATGTAATATTATTTATGTAAGTCAAGTAAGTAAGTAATCTAAAGGCAAATAACTAAAATCTAATAACCACAACCCTTTTCCCAATCTCCATTTCTAATATAAACTCACTTTTTATAAAAATAGTTGCTCAGTGTCCAGCTCCAATACAGCACTACCAAGTGCCTAAAGGTTTTGCAAAAGAACTGTCAATAGTTTCACTAGAGAAAAAAAATTAAAGATTAGGCTTCAAAATATAAAAAAAAACATTCCACCACATTAAATAAGTGAATGTTCCATGCTATAAGAAATAAAAATGTTAATAAATTGAACTTTACTTTTAAAGTCGTTATCAAAATTTCCAAACTGCTATTAATATAATACACCTACTAATAACTAAGGTTAATTACTTTCAGTGAATTAAGTGATCATCAAAGAAAGTTACTGTAACATACAAATGAGAAGTATGCAAAACTAAAATAAAATGTGAAGAGATATCAGAAAAAAATAAATATAATACTTAAAACGATGATTACGAAAAACAGGGTTTAGAAATAATGTTATGGCTTTAAAGAAGTTGCTATACCAAACTTTCCTTTACTAAGCTGTGCTAATAATTTCCATACCTTAGTGAAATTTGGGCACCAGTTATTAGAATGACCGTCGCGACTGCCTGGATGCGCGCAATAGTAATTATTTCCAACTGTACTGGCTGACCAAACCGACATACCTAAACAAATTGCACGACAGGCCTTCAAGTTGTGGCTACGAGGTCACTTATATGTAGATATTAAAATATTAAACAAATTTTTGTATAACAGATTGCTTTGTATTATAAGCATAAATAACTAAGGTGACTTATAAATATGAAGTGTGGATCTGTTAAATTAAAAACTCATTAAAATGAAATTATTTGCATGATTTTTTTTGACAGTTGACATTGTCTATTCTATTATGAATTTAGGTGTGAGGCGTATTTATCGTAACAGGAAGAAACAGCAGGTTTTTAAAAATAGCAGATTTGGACTGTTGTGTCTAACTGAACTTAAATAACTGCTGTTCTACAAGCGACAAATGTTCAAATCATAGATAAATGAATATGTAGCAAACAAATGTCTGAAATAGTTTGGAACAAGCTCTTCTATGTATATATTCTTACTTAGGGCAGGCCTCTCTCACTCTTGCTACATGCGTGAAATAATTATCTACAATCCAGAGGCGCCCCGGAGGCGGAACGCAGTCGGGGCTAGCGCGTTCTAGGCGAATGAATGTTAAAGTTTTTTTTTAACGCTCTTTACGTAAATAGTATTTAGTAAATACTTGTTAAAATACTTATCGAAATAGTTTTTGTGTTGTGTTTAATATATTCAATTGTAGGATAAAATAGTTGAAAAAGTTTAAATGTAATTTAAAAATCATATATTATAAGTATATTACCTATGTATTTTAAAAATCATAATGGCAAAACGTCATTCCTACTATTATTGTTGCGGGGATAGGGATGGATGCCTAATGAGTAAACAAAAGGATTCAAATATATCTTTTTTTTTATGTTATCGAAGGATAATGAAAGGGGAATTTATTTAATTTCTTTGTTAGATAGGTACTTATAACTAAAAAATAATTAAGTAATAATTTAACTACAGAAGTAATACCTAAATACTTTATTACAAAACTTAGTTGAAATTTACTTCACTATCCAAGTAACTACTTATGTACATACCTATACTTGTCTTTTGTAATTAAAATATCTTAAGTTATAATAACACAAAATACTGAAATTAACACTTTGTTCACAAGATTTTTAACTAAGTAGAATACGATCACATTTCTGTTAGTAATTCGGATTTATTAGTTCTTTACACTATCTAACTATTACTTCTGAGCCAAGCCTCGCGATTCCCGACGAATGGCCTTGCAAGTGTTGGGTATCACAGAACTCACATATTAGCGGAAATATGGTTGATCATAACTTAATTACAATTTCACAATGTATTTTTTTACTCTTTATCATTAGCCCTTAGTAACCACGAAAAGTCCGTTGGGACCTAGGAAGGAGAAAAAATGCAAAGTAATACGGACACTTGCACGCAGCGACAAAGTTTTATTTAGCTTGCGTGCGCGATTTATTTCATTAATAATAACTATGTAGGCTACTCAAACGTCGGCAAGCTGTCAACATCAAAGGAGTGCAACTTCTGTACGTAGTACTATTATTTATCGTGTGCTTAGGGAAGATACGTAAAGTGAAAAGAGAAATATATAGTACAAGTTATATGAAAAGCGCAGACAGAGAATAGTATAGACGAAGGCCTAGGCCTAGCGTGGTCACATGAGATAGAAGATATTAAGTGACGTTTAGGTTGTGTGTTGCTATATGAATTTTTTCATTTACCCAATTCGTTTAAAAATTAAGTAGGTATAGTCCGGACTCGAAGCAGGAAAAATTTCGTCCTTTAATCTGTTATTATATTATATTATACCTGTCTCTGTTACTCCCTAATATTAATGTTAATGTTAATATTAATAAATATTAACATTAACATTAATAATATTGATGTTAATATTAATAAATTGCTCCATAAAAATCAATTCGGTTTTACAAGGGGACGCTCGACAACTGACGCTGGAGTTGAGCTTATTAAACATATTTTTTGTCCATTGGAGAGTTCAGAGGATGCTCTAGGTATATTTTGTGACCTTTCCAAGGCCTTCGACTGTGTTCACCATGAGACATTAATAAGGAAGCTACAGTACTATGGTGTCAAGAACACAGCGCTTAAACTTATTATTTTATATTTAAGTAATAGAATGCAGAAAGTTATTATCAACGGTAAAAGTTCTTCTGGGTCACCTGTACTAATGGGTGTCCCTCAGGGCTTCATTCTCGGTCGATTCCTATTTCTGGTGTATATTAATGACTTACCTTCTCTTGTAGGGGATAATCATGATATAGTATTATTTGCTGATGATACTTCCTTGATTTTTAAACTTAAACGTCAATCCTTTAAATGTGACGAAGTGAATAATGTTATATCAAAATTAGTGCATTGGTTTAATGTTAATAATCTACATTTAAACGGAAATAAAACTAAATGTATTAAATTTACAACAACGAATGTTAAAAATCTGAGTACCTATGTGTTTTTAAATGGGAAAGAATTGAGCCCTGTTGAATCCACTGTTTTTCTTGGCATCACTCTTGACGCAAAGCTTCAGTGCGGCCGCATATGTCCAAACTAACAAGCAGACTAAGTTCTGCAGCCTATGCTGTAAAAAAGATTAGATGTCTCACTAGTGTCGAGACAGCTATATTAGTTTATTTCAGTTATTTCCATAGCATAATGTCTTATGGGATTTTGCTATGGGGAAATGCGGCTGATTCAGAAACTATTTTTGTTTTACAGCAGAGGGCCATATTTACAACTTAAACCGAAAGAGTCTCTTAGAGATAAATTTAAAGAAATAAATATATTAACTTTGGCCTCTCAGTATATTTACGAAAATTTTAAATTGATATATATTCTGTAAACACTAGGAACAAACACAAGCTAGTGATACCAGTTTCTCGACGCCACAGAGTCAGTAATTCATTCTTGGGGCAATGTATACGCTATTACAACAAGATCCCGGAAAGTATACAGGCTCTCTCTATTACCAAGTTTAAATTTTTTGTTAAGTTGAAACAGTATAAAAAGGGTTATTATAGTATAAATGAATATATGGTTGATAATAACCCCTGGGAATGAGGTGGTCGCTTCGAAGCTGTTTCTAAAATAAATTTTGTACCAACCATTAATGTAAAATATGCTTTAAAAAAAAGTCCCGCTGGGTTTCTTGCTGGTTCTTCCCAGGACAGAGGTTTTTTTCAAACGAGTGGTAAAGTAGAAAATGACTTTCAATAAGAATTACACATGTGATCTATATTGAATAAAAAAAAATTCTATTCTATTCTATTCTATTCCCGCGTAAATGTAATGCGTCTCGCTCGTACAGATGCAATGGCCGCCATCCCCAGGGATTGTAAGCCTTTTATCTGAGACTGTAATGTTTGTACTTGTTTGCAAAATTCCTTGGCTTGCTTAACATAGTTAATAATTTCTAAATACCGAACGAACGATATTCCATCTTGGGATGCGCTAGTGATCGCTCAGTTTTCAGACACAGTTATCTCAGTTATCTATTCTTAGTTTGTTGTTGTTAGTTAGTTTTTGTCACCTTGTTTTAAGGCGCAGGTTGAGCAAAATGTCGCGCTAGTCGTTATTTGTGCGGTTTTTAGGAGCTATCTACTTTTTATTTAAAAGATATATCAACAAATAAAAAACACATTATATTTCTACATAATCTTGATTCCATAAAAGCTATATCCAATTTTTTTTAAAGGAATAAATATTAATATAATCTCCTTACAACGAAACCACATAAATGTGAAATTATTATTGATAACATGCATCTCCTCGTAAAGTAAGTATTATTTTATTTTGCGATTTACACCAATGGATAGACAATTTATTAATGAACATTTCTATAGTAAAATTTTTTTCAAAAGACCAGAATTTGATTTTATTAAGAAATTATTTTAAAATCTGCGCGTATTCACTGCTCACGGGCTTGCTGGAGTCAGTGAGCCCTGAGCTCTTACACGTGGAACCCGTGTCGTTAGAGCGTCTGCCAGCGCACACGTTCACGTCATCTTATCAGTCGATAATATTATAATATTATTACTTATTAGGTTATTTATAGGTAGTATTATTTGTTTGTTTTGGGTATAATTTTTCGTATTAGTTATACATATATTTGTTGTGTTTTTTACTGCGCGATGAAGCTTTTTGCGTGTATTTTCTTTGAAGTAAATGCAAATAAAAAAAAGCACCATTAGCATAGTTCGAATCCATAATTAAAATTTCGACAAATATTATAATTTACACTATAAAAGGCTAATTCAATATTATCACCCAACCACAATATCTTATTAGGTATAGTACCGCCTCGTTGGTCTAGTGGTTGTAGTAGTGCGACTGCTGATCATGAGGTCTCGGGTTCGAATCCCGGGTCTGGCCAAAAGTCAGTTATGAGTTTTTGGCCCGTTTTTGTTTTTATTTATTGCTTGTTTTTTGTTCTTTTTCAAAAAATAATTGAGTACATAAGGTGTTCTATGCGCCGAATGTCAGAGAGAAAAGCTAGTACATCTTTTGCTAAACTTTAAAATCTAAAACCAATTTTAAAACAGACGAATTGATCATAACTCCCTTAGCTATAAAATAAGTTATGATCTAATTAATGGTATTTATTCCAGTTTATGGCAGCCCTGATTTATATTACGTGGCTGAAATTAGGTACTTCTTATTAGGTACGTCAAACCAAATAACAGCCGGGCTGACATTATGCACTCCATACATTTCTTATATTATCTAATTACAGCCCCATTAATTTCCACTAAAAGAAAATAAATAACTTGTAAATTCAAACAAAAATAACTGCATTACTATGTCTATAGTCATATTCATACAAATTAAAAAGCCTATATATGAGATAATGTAAAATAAGCATAATTTTACCGGGATCATAACTTGTCAAATAATTAGGAAAATGATCGTTTTTCGTTGCGTACCTGTTTTGATTTTAACACTGTTAGGTTTAAAACTGCGAGGTAATATTTGAATAAATATAGTTTCCTCTAGTTACAAAGAATTTTTTAGATGAAAATATTTGTAGTTAAGACTACTAG